AGCTGGCCCACAGTCCCTGAACGCACCACTGAGAGGATAAACACCCAGCAGCCTCCGAATGCCCCACCGAACAGGAAACAAACATCCAAATAACAGCAGCTGCCTCTAAAATAGCCGCCCACTGTGCCCTGACCTCCAGCTGCTCCCTGATTACCAGACGAGGAAGAAGCAGCAGAAAAAATGGCAGAAATCACAGCGATGCAGCTGGATGTGGGTTCTGATTGTGGAGTTATCAATCGTGAATAACCTGGACCGTGAAACGGCGGCAGGACGAGATCGTCTGCATAGAGGGCGGAGCCAGCAGCAGGCGAACGATGGCGGTCAGAATCAAACCAGAGACCTTCAGTTACATCATCAGATAAACCAGGACTGAAACAATAATAATCGTTAACTAATTAGTCATTTACTGAGGTGGTTAGTGGCATGAAACCCACAAACTGTCCCTTAGATAAAGTTCCAGCCAAGTTTTTGAAGGTTCTGAGCTCTGCTGGTCCGAGTCTGCTGGTTTTTAGCTCAGGGTCTGTTCCAGCTGCCTTCAAACCCGCTATGGTTCGGCCCCTCATAAAAAAACGCATCTTGACCCCTCTGTACTCTCCAATTTTAGACCTGTCTCCCACTTGTCTTTTCTTTCTAAGGTTTTAGAAAAAGTTGTTTTTATTCCATTACAGACATTTCTGGAGATCAATTCCGTGTTTGAGAAATTTCAGTCTGGTTTTAGACCCCGACATGGCGCCGAGTCAGCACTGTTAAAGGTGCACGATGATATTGCGCTGTCTGTGGACGCTGGGAATAGGACTGCAACAACGAATCGATAAAATCAATAAAAATCGACTTTTAAAAGCGTTGGCAACGAATTTCATCATCGATTTGTTGTGTCGCGCGATTAATGCGTCATCCGCCGCCGCCTTCATCTCATCACTGCTACTTGATTGAAACGCGGGAAGAAAAAAAAAATACGGCAGAGCGAGCCAGCGCTATATTGACCGATACCGCAAACGCGAGCTGCGTCTCAGTTCGCAGACAGCCTGCGCTTTGTAAAGCGAAAAAAATCGTAACATGCAACTTTTGTAAAAACAAATGAAAATGGCGCGGAAGCACCACTGTTATGATGCAGCACCTGAAAAGAAAACAGGTTGGAGCCTTCGATGGCGTGAAGAGAGCTGATCAGCAGGGTGAGCGGCCATGTTTGTTTGGTTTTAAAGTGGGGAAACGTAACGTTAGTTTCTCAGGTAGCTCATCTGATGCTTTCCTTACCGTGTTAGTAGGTTACAGACAGTGATAAGGAAAGCATCAGACGAGCTACCTGAGAAACTAACGTTACGTTTCCCCACTTTAAAACCAAACAAACATGGCCGCTCACCCTGCTGATCAGCTCTCTTCACGCCATCGAAGGCTCCAACGTGTTTCCTTTTCAGGTGCTGCATCATAACAGTGGTGCTTCTGTGCCATGTTCATTTGTTTTTACAAAAGTTGC